ACAACCACCCCACCCCCACACACACACACACACACACACACACACCTTTTAAAACCTAATAATCTAATGCACACAGGACCCAGTGTGGTGGCATATGACATTAATCCTAGTACTTAAGAAGCAGAGACAAGCAGATCTCTGTGAGTTTGAGACCAGCCTGGTCTACATAGCTAGATACAGGCCAGACAGGGCTACATAGTGAAACCCTGTTTCACAGAACAAAACATAGGCATTATACATAACACATACAGTCTCTTAGTATACTACACATAAGTGGTACAAGTTCAAAGTCATTAAGAGTTTGTGGGCGCCGGGCGTTGGTGGCGCATGCCTTTAATCCCAGCACTCGGGAGGCAGAGGTAGGTGGATCTCTGAGTTCGAGACCAGCCTGGTCTACAAGAGCTAGTTCCAGGACAGCCTCCAAAGCCACAGAGAAACCCTGTCTTGAAAAACCAAAAAAAAAAAAAACCAAAAAAAAAACAAAAGTGTTTGTGGGCAACCATGTTTTTCTGTCTTTAGAGTCTTGAATTTCAAGATCCAATAGAGACACAGAGACTAGAGTATGGGTAAAGTTATGTGGACAGAAGAACAAGCAAGCACAGACCTTGAGTGACTCTGGGGTCCCACATCCCTATTTGGAAACCTTGGACTTAGGTCCCATGAGAAAGAGGCCCACTTGGCCTTCCCTGGTCAGGAAGAGACTTTGCAAGCCCAAAGGACAGTGTTCAGCTCTCCTTTTGTTTGCAATTAGCTGTTTACTTAGTGAACAAAGCATGTTTAATCCTCTGAAAGGTTTATGATTAAGTAATAATGCTTAAAATAATCAAATGCATAAGCCTGCAAATATTTTTCTACAAAAAAATCAAATAGTAAATATTGTAGGCATTATGAATCAAGGGGCATCAATCAGTGGTTTTACGTTGGTATTTATATAGCAAGGAAGACATAAAATTTCCTAAAATTCTTCACTTTCAGAAATCCAGTAGTAATAATAATCACAGTGATGGAGTGTAGTTTTTAAACAGTGATCTACCTACAAGGAAAGAGGGATCCTGTTTGAGGAGATAGCATCTTGCTTTGTTCGGATGAAAAGTTTCCAAGGAAATCCCTTGAAAGCATTCATTTGCCAGTGCTGAGCTGTAACAAGCTGTTACATAATTCATCTAAAAATATCATTTCATTCAGATTCATACTGCCAGGTGATGACAAAACGTCAGAACAAATGATTTTCTTTTTTTCTTTCTTTCTTTTTCTTTTTTTGGTTTTTCGAGACAGGGTTTCTCTGTGGCTTTGGAGGCTGTCCTGGAACTAGCTCTTGTAGACCAGGCTGGTCTCCATCTACCTCTGCCTCCCGAGTGCTGGGATTAAAGGCGTGCGCCACCAACGCCCGGCTCAGAACAAATGATTTTAATTGGCTGTGTTCACTTCTTGGGATTTGTGTTCCTTTGTGGATTTGGGTCAGATGCTTCTCCTGATGTTTGCCTTTCAGCATGCAAATCCCTCCCATCTGGGGGTGAGATCACCGCTCACTGTAAAGTGAACGCTTAAATGTGAGCAATTCCTTTGGTTTGCTTTGAGGTCTGAACTGACTGTTGGGAGTTGGAAACTGTCATTGCAAATATATGCAGGAAAGGAAGTCTTCCTTCTTGCTTTAACTTTGATAGCACTGAAATGTGGAGAGCATCTTGACCCCAGGTGCAATCGGGGTGGCTGCATCCTAAGCTGTGTACCTTGGGCTGTCTTGCCTCAACATTTTAGGCCAGTTCAATCCACAAAGCTAATTTTCAAAACCATCCAGCATTTGTTAGCAATGGTTGAGGGTTCTTCTTATTCAGAAAAATTCCAATCTTAGCCCTGGGCTAAAATAAACCATAAGAAAACATAAGTGTGGTGAAGCCACTGAACTGCAGAGCTGTGGAGCACACAGAACCATTGAGCTGCCGTTTCTAAAGAAACAGTGTGACAGTGTCACGTCTGAGAGCTAATGAAGTTCATTGTTGACGGAGTTAGTGCAGCACCACATGGCAGAGCCAAACGTTTTATGCAAAGTACATTTAAAAAGTTCTGTGTATGCATGTGTGTGTAGCATATGTGTACTTGTATGAACGCGTGCGCAGATGTGGAGGTCATAGGCTGACTTTGAATGTCTTCTTCCATTCATTTCTATTTAACCTTTTGAGACCAAGTCTCTCATTGAACCCACTGACTAGCAAGCTCTGGGGATCCCGTTGTCTCTGACCCCCAACCCCAGTGCTGGGGTTACATGTGTGTGCTTTGCCACACCTGGCTTTTACAAAGGTGGGTGATGGGGACCTGAACTTAGTTCCTCCAGCTTGTATGTAGATGCTTCAACTGAGCCAGCCATCTCCCCAGACTCTACAAAGCACTTCCTAATGAATAGTACGAAGACTAACCATGAGCTTTAGATAACTTGCATTTTCACAGGCTCTGTAAACTTGCTTAGCCCAGCCCATTTCTGCTCAACATGTATTAGTACCATAACATCTTAGCAGACTCTACTTCAGGTTGTGTTGAATTAGCAATTTCTGAAGTAAAGTGTGTATGTGTGTGAGTGTGTGTGTACGAGTGAGTATGAGTGTGTGTTAATGACAGATGTCTTCCTCTATTACTCTTCCCCTTATATTTTTGAAGTCTCTTACTGAACCTGAAGCTTGCCAACTTGGTCAGACTGGCTGGCTGGCTAGTGAGCTCCAGGGAACCCTCAGTCTCCATGACCATTCCCCAGTATTGGGGTTATAGAAGAACACCACTGCTCCCAGACTGTTTTTTCAACTTTCTGAAAGTTGTCATATTGTGTATTCATAGAGGCTAACTCTTTAGTCACATCCAACTCATCCTTGACACTTCTGCAATAAACAATATTGAACAGTATTAGAATGCCTGACAACTCATTATGAGAAAAAGAAAACCATATGAAATTGATCATTATACAAAAAAGTGATTATGGATTTTACTCTAGTCCCTGGACTGTATTTTGGGCAAGTATTTCACATAATGGATAATCTTGAACAAATTTGTGTTCTTTGGACACATTTCCTTTAGCTGCTGCCATCAAAAATGGTACAATTGGCTGGGAATGGCTTCCTTGCTTGGCCAGGAAATGAATGGCTTGGAACCTTTGATTGCAGCCTCATTTTCACTTTAAGACACTGCAGTGATGGGATTTTCTGATCATTGCTTTCCTGCGAGTTGAAAGTATTATGATTGAGGCATGGTCTAATGATGTAGAGTGTTGTCATTCTGTGTCACTGCATAACAGGTTCATTGGTTCTACTCCTAATCCATAAATACTGAAGACTATACTGGGCCTTTAGCATGCAACACTTGGGTCCAGTTTTCTTGTCTTACCATGATGTGTACATAGTTTGCCTTAGTTTAATATTTCAAAATTTATACTGAGCTGGGTGGTGGTAGCACATGCCTTTAATCCCAGCATCCAGGAGTCAGAGGCTAGTGGATCTCTGTGAGTTCAAGGCCAGCCTGATCTACAGAGTCAGTTTCAGAACAGCCAGAGCTGTTACACAGAGAAACACTGCCTCAAAAAAACCAACCAACCAACCAAACCAACCAACCAACCAACCAACCAACCAACCAACCCAACCAACCAAGAAAACCAGAATTTATACTGAAACTGCTCCCCAATAGGTAAGTCCTCTAGCAAGTGTCCTCAGGGCCCTTACCGAAGGGATGGATGGAAGTAGGCAGATCTTTGCCTTCTGCCTTCGCCACGGGTGGACACAGCAGCGAGGGGCTGTCTCAAACCAGAGAGAGCTGCCTCAGCAGACAGTACTCACCTCCAGCACAACTGTGAGAAATCAGTTCCCGTTTCTTATCCCTTTAAAAATAGCAGTAGGAAGGGACTGAGACACTGGTAATGAGACAATGAAATAAGATGTTACTGGTGAGGGGATGCCTGGAAAACCATGGAGCATTAACTGCCTGGCTGTGATTGACAGTACTTTGGGCAACAGTACAACACAATGACAGCATCATACACAGTCTGTCAACACCCCTTAACTCTGTCCTTGTTCAAAAGTGGCCATAAATAAACCAACATGCATGACTGTGTCTCAATATGACTTTATTTGTGGGCACTGAGAATGGCACTTTATATAATTTCCATGGCAGAAAATATTCTGCTTCAGATTTTAGTCCGTTAAAATATAAAGCATTTAGCAGAATGCAAGATTGGTCTTGAGGTAGGAGGAAAGGTTTCAGAACATCCATCTGATAAATCAGAGCGGTATCTGGACAGACACCCCACTGATAACTCTCCATTGGTGTGACTAAGCACATGCAAAGATACTCATCCTCTTATGACATCAAGAATTTCAAATTAGGACTCAGTGGTTAAGAGCATTGGCTACTCTTCCAGAGGTTCTGAGTTCAATTCCCAGCACCCACATGGTGATTCATAAGATCTGGTGCTCTCTTCTGTCCTGCAGGCATACTTGCAGGCAGAACACCGTATACATAATAAATAAATAAATACATTTAAAAAAAGAATTTCAAATTAAAACAAAGAGAAGACACCATGTACCTGCAGGAAATCCAAGACAGCAGCATCAGATGCTGGTGAGGGTCCTGGCCCAAGCCTCTCACTCCTGGTCTGTGGGAATGCAAAGGGGCCTGGTTCCTCCCAGAACTGTTGATACATTTACACGATCAGTCTCATTCCCTGATATTTGTCCCAGCGAGACTAGAACTTCCGTCCACATAAATAGTATCTATGTAGCAACCACTTTGCAGAAGGAATAATTGTCATGAACAAGGTTATGTTCTCTGGATGTACTTCCTCTACTTGCTTATAGTCAGACATGATTTAGTTGGTGACTGATTTTCCTTGCTTGGCTCTCATACCTGGAGCCTTAATTTGCTTGCAGCCTCATTTTCACTTTTTGTCTCAAAATTAAAAAAAAAATATTAAAGTATGTAATTAAGCAATAATGATTTAGCCACAATCTTAAAATAAAATTTTAAACATTTATTTACTTAGCATTTGCTCACCTTTTTAGTGTGTGTGTGTGTGTGTGTGTGTGTGTGTGTGTGTGTG